CCACACTATCCAAAGGTCTCTGGGCGGCTTACAACAATTAAAGTACAATAAAAGGATAAGCCAATTAAAATATATACTCTAAAAATTGTCATCAGGACCCACCGTTGATATTATTTCAATTAAAAGCGGTACAATTGCTAGTTACAGCCTTTTGACATAGTTTCCATGACTGTGTGGTTTGTTGTGACCAAGGAAAAGAACTCCTGTCACCGAACCGTTAGCCTTTGACTAATAGGAAAAGGTACTGTATTTGGCGGGAAAGAGTGAAAATGTAGGAACTGCAAGTTCCCTGATTTTTTTTAAAAAATGAATGTAAAAATAAGATTTTTCCCCACTAGCTCTCCTGCCTGTTCTGTAGTTATTTCAAGTACCTGAGACAAGCAAGCAGGAGGATATGCCTTTTGTTGGTTTGCCTCTTTGCCTTCATGCTTTTGTTTTTTTTCCTGCCTTCAGTGGAATGAGACCATTGAGCACTTTCGAGATGGAATGCCATTACGGAGACATCGTTGCCACTTCAAGAGCTATGACCGTTGCTTCACAGCTACAGAGGCAGTGGACTGGTTACACAGACTCCTGAGGCACAACCAAAATTTTAGCCCAGATGTTACTCGGGCTCAAACAGTTCAGCTCCTTAAAAAGTTCCTGAAGAATCATGTCATTGAAGATATAAAAGGAAGGTGGGGCAAAGAAGATTTTGAAGACAATGGTCACTTATATAGGTAAGTAATTGAAAACTAGGCCTGAAGAAAGGTTTGGCTGAAATACTTCAGATTTTCAAACTTCCTCTCCAGCTACTGATGAATACTTTCGACTTTCATAGCACCAGACCAGTGTTTTGATATATGAAAATGTAACAAGATAATTACTAGGTACAGTTTCTATCACAGCATGTTGTAGCTTTTACCATAAATTTTCAGTCAATGTAATTTTATTTTTAACCACGCTGTACTAATAGACTTGTTCAGAGAATGAACCCAGTCTCCCACATGAGTCCCTTGTTCTACCTTTTCCGTCATGGTTGTGAGGAGGAGTTAGAAGCCTTTGTTTTAGCCCAACTGCAGTGCAGCATATCTGTGCTGTTTCTTAACTATGGTTAATGAAAGCAAGCCAGCTTCATAAACTATGTTTTAAACTTGGCTTGGTTTTTTACTGATCATAGTTGAATTGGTCCAGATGTGAACAACACAACAAACTAATGAACTAATTTAAAATGATCTTTGAATGATTATAGGCAACAGTAGCTTGCAGCCTAAGTTGTTTTTCAGAACTGCTCACTTCTAACAAGCTTCCAGAAGGTATCAAAGATCCCAGGAAACTGTGTTATATGGAGCCATGTAATTAGTCCATCCATCCCAGTACTTTCTACTTAGACTCCATGGTCCTCAGTGTCTCAGGAAGAAGTTTTACTCAGGCTTCCTATGCAAGAGCCATTACCTTGGAGATACTGGGAATGGAATCTGAATGCTCTGCTACTACTCTATGGCCATTCTATCAGTGCAGGCTGTGTTTCTCATTCATAGGCATCCTTCAGTCTCGAGAGATTCTGGTAATATGCTCTGTATCAAGAAGTGTCCTCTCCAGAGCATAAAGCCTGGGAATAATAATAATAATACTTTATTGTCATTGTAAGTATATACACATACAACGAAATTCACAAAAGTAATATGGAGGATAGGCTGTTGCCCAAGCAGCAAATCCCCCCTCTCCACGTTGCTGAAATGGTCCAATGGCAAGGCAAGAGCCTATGCAACTGGTTCCAGCAACGTCGCAGGAGTTGGCAGAACGACACGAACTGCCTTCGGGCCTCCAGCTCCGGATTTTGCCTCTAGGTTAACTCCTGAAGCCTTTTCCCTGAGTGAATATAGCCACAAGGCAGTGGAGGTTTGAAATCTGAGTTTTCCTTCTCCTAGATGGGCTGCCTTCCATGGCTGACGAGCCCCACCTACCCGGCCTGCTGTCTAATAGTGTGGAAGTATGATCCGACCCTTAAAACTTTCCTGCTTTCCAGGTGTATGTAATGCTAATGGGCTTTCCTATTTACCATATTAGGATCAGAGATTGAGTCAGAGAATTTGAGGATTTCATACACCGTCAGGTGCGCGGTCCTGCCACACCCTCATTTAAGGAGGAAAGCCCCACCTCCTGGACCTAGGCCATGCGGTGGGGGGGGGGGGAAACAAAAGAAATCCCAGCAAAAACAAACTCTTCAGCAAAATGTCCATGCAGGCAAACCTGGTCTTCAGCCTCCTAGGGAAAAGGGCCCAGGTCCTGCCACACCCTCATTTAAGGAGTAAAGCCCCACCTCCTAGGGTTTCCATGGTCTTCAATTAAACATTTTCCAATTAAGCATCATTCCATGGTCTTCTCATTAACCATTTAAAGCAATACCTTTTGCATGTCTATGTGTGCACGTGCACAGCTTAGGGTCAAACAAAACATTAAGGGGATGTATGTTAGAGTTAAGTCATTTCCCCTCCCACAAAGCAATTTCTTCATAGATAGAAGTCTCAACAGTCAGAATTTGTTTTTATAAGATATCGGGGAGAGGTGGAAGGTCTGTGCCATGGAGGTGTAGTGGAACATTTCCAGGTTAGAAGACAGACATCTAGACGTATAACGGAAACAGGAAGTATGGGGTCTTAAGAGGGATTTTCATGAAAGCTGAGATTCTGTGCAATCTGTCGCTAGGCATTGATATAAACATTCCTGGTTCTGGGTATCTTGTAATTTGATGTGAGAGACTAGATCTGTTCTTTATAAACAATGCTGTCACTAGCATATTTGTAAACATCCACTTGTATATTTGGAAACAACTGATACCATCAAAATATTATACATCAGTAATAGCCTCAAACACAAAGGCATCACCCAAAGGTAGCTAACTCGGGAACTGTTTCACTGTAACATTTGGGTCAAAAATCAAGGAGACACAGGCATGTGAGAAATTGCTGCACAGCGATGGTGAGAGTGGCCCCCAAAATGAGTTTAGTGGCCTCCTTGGTCCCTGCTACACCTCTTCCTGCCAGCCCAAATATTTTTTCAGTAGAAATTCCAGCAGTAATGGTTTTCCTTTTACACATGAATTTGTCTCCCTCCATCCCCCACAAGTTTTATAAGCCTACTCTAGACATGAAGTGTTGTATTTCATGTTGTTCATTCCCATAAACTACTGGTGGAACACAATTCATGGGACCCACAAATTGCTCCAGAAGATTGTGGAGAGACTTTTGAGTCAATTTGGGGGCAGATGGGGGACAAGCAAGCAGAAGACTGCTCAGTTTTGGATGGTGCCTGGAAGTACTGTACTAGTACTGTGAACATTAGTAATTTGTTTTCTTGTGACAATCACTATTAAATTTAAAAAAACCCTCCATGTGTGAAGGCCATGTGGATGTAAAAGCCAAAGGGTTAGATCCAGACTTAGCCATACTTGGAGTAGATTCGTCATTAGTGCGACCTGAATAACTTGGATCCCACTGAATTCAAAGGGTCTGCTCTAAGTACCGTATTTGCCGGTATATAAGGCGACTGGGCGTATAAGACCAGTACCGTATTTGCCGGTATATAAGGCGACCGGGCATATAAGACCACTCCCCCAACATTCCCACTCAGAATGTAGAGTTTGTTATATACTTGCTGTATAAGACTACCCCCTCTTCTGCATGCGTGATTCTGCTTTGGCTGCATCATGGGGAGAGTTCCTTTTGCTCCTTTTGCTTCCTTCTCCGAGAGACCAGGGTTTGCTGGAAGAAGGAACAGGAGAGAGGCGGCAGCCATTTTGAGAGGCAGCAGCCATGTGGTCGCATCTCAAAATGGCTGCCACCTCTCTGCTGTTCCGGGCAGTCAGCTGTTTGGCGCTAGAGTCAGGCTGTTCCCAGGCTAGGAGCAGGGCTCTACTTGGTCTTACTACCAGGTAAGTGACTTCGCTGGGAGAGAGGGAGGGTTTGCTGGACATGCACCCGGCGTACAAGATGACCCCCCCCACTTGGAGGCATGTTTTTCAGGGCCAAAAAGTTGTCTTGTTCGACGGCAAATACGGTATGTCTTAACCTAGAACCAACCCATAGTAGAATTTGGAGAAAGATACACGTGTTGAATTTTCTGTGGGTATTTTCAACCTTCAATGGAATGCACTCTTCACTAATGAACTTAAAATGGCTGCATAAGCATGAACCAGGTAGTGTGGGAACAAAAGTATGATAATGTTCTTCTTTGCATAGGGAAGTGTAAAGGCATTCTCTGATCTGGCCTAAAGGTCTAGGAAAAAGATATGCAGATTACTAATTACTGACAGCTTAATAGCTGTTATTTTGTTTTGCAATTTTGTGGTTTTCTTTTGACGGTATTTCTTTTATCGTGCTGAGAGTATGCCACTTAAATATCTTCCGACTGGGACAGCAGGGTGTTTAATTTCTCTGCCACCATATTTCAAGCCCTGTCCAAAACATCACTTTTTAAAAAGAAGGCACACATTTTATACAACAGAGAACTAGAAGTACTGTCAATAGCGTATTTTGTCCCCAGATTCCTAATTAATAATTACCGTAGTTTTCCGTGTATACAATGAGACTTTTTTACTTGAATAATTAGACTAAAAATTGAGGGTCGTTTTATGTACGGCAGGTAGCCGCTTCCCCTGCCTTTTGCGAAGCCACAGAGTAAAGCAGCCGCAAAAGGGCAGCACATTCGCACCCCTTTGATCCTGAAGCAGCCATGAAAGGGCAGGAGGATCAAAGGGCCGTGAGCGCGCTGCCCTTTCATGGCTGCTTTAACAATTTCCTAAGCTCTGCAGGGCTTAGGAAGCGGGAAACACCTCCGGGAAAGAGCGGGAGGATCAAAGGGGTGTGAGTGTGAAAATTTTCTAATTTGTGTGTTTGAAAAGGGGGGTCATCTTATACTTTGGGTCATCTTGTAAATGGGAAAATACGGTATATGTAGAGATGGCGCCACAGGTGCTGCGTGTTCCCTTCCCCCACCTCCCTGGTTGGATCCCACACTCACTAGCCAGCGCACGTTCCTCTCCTCCTCTTTGGTTATTTGACCAGTCTCAGGAAGGAGCAAGGGCTTCCCTGCCCCGCCACCTTGTCTGAGTGGGTGATCAACCAAGGAGGCAGGACAGGCAAACCTGTGTTCCTGCGGGAGGAGGAGAGGAGCATGCCCGACTGGGTAATTGGTCAGGGAGTCAGGGGAAGGGAATGTGCAACACTTATTTATTTATAAATTATTTGTTTGATTTATATACAGCCCATCTGGAAGCAAGGTTCACTCTGGGCAGTTTACAACAACTAGACAGAAACAATAAATAAGACTGCATTGATAAATTTAAAAGTATAAACCAAAATACCATAAAATACAGTGGAAGACATAGTGAAATACAGTACAATACATTACATTAATTTAATTGCACGTTTGGTGCTGCGTGTATGAACTGCCAAGAACTTCCAAACCAAGGTTCAAGCCCATCTCTAATTATATACTGTCAAGTCTGCCTTATAGTGACCCTTTGCAGGCTTTCCTGGGTCCACAGTACTCAGAAGTACTTTACCATTGCCACTTTCTGCTGGTGCCCTGTGTGTGTGCAGCCTGTAGAAGGCTACACAGGCTGATTCTTCTCCTAGGATGCACAGTGCAGAATCAAACTTCAAACTACCCAACTCACTGAGCTATCCAGCCAGCACCACACCCCTGGATCTTTCATATTCCTCAACAGGGCAGATAA